CATAAAAAAGGATGAGTTCGTGTCCTTTGTAGGGACATGGATGCAGCTGGAAACTATCATTCTCAGCAAACTATCGCAAGAACAGAAAACCAAATATCGCACGTTCTCACTCATAGGTGGGAATTGAACAATGAGATCACTTGGACACAGGAAGGGGATGATCACATACCAGGTCCTATTATGGGGAGGGGGTAGTGGGGAGGGAGAGCATCAGGAGATATACCTAATGTAAATGACGAGTTAATGGGTGCAGCACACCAACATGGTACATGTATACGTATGTAACAAACCTGCACATTGTGCACATGTGCCCTAGAACTTAAAGTATAGTAAAAAAAAAAAAGAAAAGAAAGAAAGAGAAAGAAAATTATGTTCCTATTTCCACTTTTCCAACTGGTATGTTTGAGTTACCTTTCAGTTGTTTCATGCTTATTTTGGTTTTCTGTTCACTGAGTTATCTCCTCAGATCCTTGGCCCTCTGACGGGCTTTCTCCCACCCTGGAGTTTCCCAGCATGGACACTCTTGCCAGGTGTGGGGTTGCTGCAGCTGTTTCTTTCCCTTGGAGGTTAGAAAACACAGTTATGTTGCTTTAAGTCAAAAGGGTTGTGCTAGGGTTTCTTGCCCTGTGCCCTGTCTTTAAAACAGAGAGAAAATGCAGCTTCCCCATGCCCTTCCCCTCTATGTCATGAACAGACTGAGCCCCAGGTAGCTTAGAGGAAATGTCATGCAACTCTCACCATGGAAGATTCTCATTCCGACCTGTGTGTTTTGGAGCAGCCATTTGACATCACAAAGCCTGTGTTTTCTCATTTCTACACTGAGAATGATTTTTGGGAACTCTCTGGGATAGTGCTCTTCATAAAGATTATTAACACAACAGCGGAGTGCTGTTGTTCTACAGATGGTACAGTATGATGAAGATGCCTTGAAGTTATTAATGGATTAATCATTCTTTACCTCCACATCAAATATGACATTGGAAGCCTAAAATATTCTTCACCATGAACATGTATGTCCTCCCCATGCACAGGTCTCCAAAGGATGGGGACCTCCTGATCTGAGCCACACATTCCAGTCCTCTGGTGTTTCATGGTCTCTTCACTGACTGTGTGTTCTTTCTTTCCCCCACCCACACACACACGCCCACGTACAAATATGAGTCTATCCTGAACCTAGAGATTTGAATGAAGCCAATCTCCCAACCAGGGACAAGGGAGAAGCTGATGCAGTCCCTGGCAGCAGCCTTCAGGGGTCAAACTATCTTCTTCTATACCATTTTCCTGAACTTATACCAGGACTTCACCACCACTCCACTGTTCCAGACCAGATGTTCAGTAGGCAAGCTTCTGTTTTCTCCAAGGCACAGTGGTGACTCTGCCAGCTACTGTGTTTCAGAATAACAATGCATCTCTATTAGCCTCAGTTTCCATCTCTGAAGAGAATTGTACCACGAACCTCATACAGTTTTTGTGAGGAATGAACGACATAAAACATGAAAAGTGGATCCCTAGTGCCTGGCTTGGTGGAAAGGCTGCTGGGCATGCTCTGGTTGTTCATATTTATATATTTTTTCTGTTCTTTCACCCAAGAAGCTTTTTCTCATGTCTCAGTGACTCATGTTCTTCTATAATTGGAAAAGCATATAGAAGACATACCTGTTCTTACATTTGTAAAGGATAGTTGAGCTTCATTTTAGCTGGACTTTGTCCTTGACCCAGAGAGAATGGATATCCCTGGGTGCTGAGAAAAGTACAGTCAGGTATATCTAAAGAGGTGGGAGTTAGGGCTAATGTATTCATCACGTATATATTAAGCACTTTTTTCAGACACTTGGCATAATTCAATGAAGAAAGCAGATGACAGTTCCTGGGCCTCAATTTATTTTATGGAGTCAGACACTGACAGTAGACTTCATAAGCAGGTCATTTTGACAGAATGTGAGATATGATGCCCTTATGCCCTCCTGTAGGTAGGTATGGATGCACGTCTCAGCTTCTGATCAGAAAGAAACACCACAGGACCAAGTATAACCATTTAAATATTTGAATAAATTTGTTTCAAAGTAACATCCCTTCATGATAAAAACTCTCAACAAATTAGGCATAGAATAAATTCACCTAAACCAATTAAAGGCCATGTATTACAAATAAACAGCTAATAATATATTAAATGACACAGAGTTGCAAGCTTTTTCTATAAGACCTGGAACACAACGAGAATACTCACTTTCATCAATCTTATTCAATCTGGGCAACAGAGTGAGACTCCATCTCAAAAAATAGATAAATAAATAAATAAATAAATAAATAAATAAATAATAAATAAATAGAGAAAGACACACAAATATAAAAAATACTGAAGAATAATTAGTATGGGTACTAATTGTAGAGAAGTACTAAAAGTATGACAGAAAAGAAATGTATTTAAAAAATCCACTTCTGAGTTGTTTGTAGATGTAGACACCTGACAAAGAGTTGCTCCTACATTACACAAACAAAAAAGCTAGAAAAACTACAAATGAATGAATGGCTTGTTCTGAACCATTTGGAGACCTGAAGTCACAGGGAAGACAACAAATCCAACAACAGGGGATGCAGAAGCCTGCAGGTAATGGAGGCCCCAGGCTTTTATGTTCACCCGAAAGACCATGTACACTGGTAAAATTAAACCAAAACTTTTGAAGTAGTAGCTGGTGGCTGTGTGTAGGTGGGTGAAGGAGAAGGTGAGACCCTGGAGTCTACAGACATAAGGTTTACACCTCTGTTAGAGTGTTTCTAGCAACCCTACAAGGCCTGTCAGGGAAGATGGGGTAGAATCCTGAGAATGCTTCCCCAACAGTGCTGATGGGGAGGGTCCACTATCCCACCCACTGCTACAATTCTGGAGACATAGCTTTCCTGTCTCTCCTATAGAATACAAGGCCCAATGTGCAGAGTAAGAGCATCCGAACATGAGCCAGAGGGAACCGTGAAAAAACACAGCAGCTGATGGTGGAGAGACAAGGCCAACATCCACATCTCTGCACAGATGCATCTCCCATAAAGAAACGGAAGCCTAGCCAGGAGCAGGGCTTATGCCTATAATTCTAGCACTCTGAGAGGCCGAGGCAGGCAGATGAATTGAGCCCAGGAGTTCAAGACCAGCAATACGGTGAAACCTTGTCTCTACAAAAAATACAAAAACTAACTGGGCATGGTGGCACTTGTCTGTAGTTGCAGCTACTTGGGGGGCTGAGGCGTCAGGATCACTTGAGCCCAGAAGGTCGAGACTGCAGTAAGCAGAGATTGTGCCACTGCACTCCAGCCTGGGCGACAAAGTGAGACCCTGTCTCAAAACAACAAAAACAACAAATAAACTAAACTGTTAATTTACAGGGCACGGTTGCAGACCCACTTCCACTGGGAGCTAAAAACAGGGACTAGGAGCCTCTCTACTACGGGGGGAGAAACGGAAATGCGCCCTTGTCCCTGCATTGCATCTACAGGAGGGGCAGGAACATCTTTAAATGTCAGTCACCACACACCCCAGTTGACAGTGCTGTCTGAGGCTTCCTCAGAACATCAGAGATCTCCTCACTCCTTCACCTCCTGCCACCAAGTTAAAAAACATGGAGTTGGCCGGGCACAGTGATTCACACTTGTAATCCCAGCACTCTTGGTAGCGCGAGGGAAGGTTGAATCAGCTGGAGGTCAGGAGTTCAAGCACGCAGCCTGGCCAACATGGTGAAACTCCGCAGTCTCTATAAAAACTACAAAAATTAGCCGGCGTGGTGGTGGGTGCCTGTAAATCCCAGCTACTCGCGAAGACTGAGGCAGGAGACATCGCTTGAACCTGGGAGGCTGGGGTTGTAGTGAGCCAGAGATTGTGCCATTGCACTCCAGCCTGGATAACAAGAGACGAGACTCCCATCTCAAAAAAAAAAAAAAAAAAAAAAAGCAGAAACAACTCCGAGTAAAATACCAGCTGCTGCACGAGACCATCTCTGCATACAAAGAACACCAGGAGGCATAGCAAACCTGGGAGAATACTGGCAAAGTATCCTGAAAAGGATTTCAATTCCCTGGTGCTCAGAAGGTTATTGCTGCCATAACAAATTTCAATCTCAACCTACCTCTCATCTACATGACCACAAACGCCTACACTAAGGCCTATCTGAGGGAAAACTGCTCATCAATAACCTAAAAACTATTTATACTGTCTCCTACAACATATACTACTGTTTTTAACAAAAATTACAAGCCAAGCCATACTATTTTGTTTTAATGTGAGATCTTTATTTGTGTGAGAAACAAATTAAAAACTGTAAAGGACAGATGAAAATAAGCCATCAGGTAAAGGGGTCAGAAGAAATTAGGCATCACAAAACCTAGGCATATTGGAAATATGTTTAAATTTGTAAGCAAATGGGGAAAAGGGGATAACAAAATAATCAGAAAATTATAAACTAAACAAGCAAATTTGTAAAAGAGTCAACTAGAAATGGAATAATTTCAATATATATTAATATACAATATATGAGTTAAATATTAAATTAGACTGAGTTGATGACGAGAGGATTAATGAACTGGATTAGTGAATTGGACTATTGAAAAGAACGAATGTAGCCAAATACAGTAAGTGAAACAAAATAGTAGCAATCTGAATGTAATAATACATATATAAGTAACAGAATGAGAAGGAGCAAAGCAAAATTATTTTACTTAAGTCCATACAAATAATAAATCACACTAATAAAATAATTATTTTCAAATTTTGAAAATTAAAAACCAGATATAAACTCATAAATTCAGAAGTGTGCTGTGTCTAAAAGAGAGCAATAAATAAGGATATTTAACAAAATAACAGGCAAACTGCATAACACCGAATAGAATGAAGACAATTAAAAGCCATGAGAAGGAGAGAGAACCTACAAGGTGAGAGTAAAATCTCCACAGCCTGTGCAGACCCAGAAAACTGAGAAATAAATATTAAGAGTTCTGAAAAAAAGTTACTGTTCAACCTATAATTGGATACATAGCTAGCATATTTTTAATAACTAACGGTAAACTAAATTATCTTAAAAAGTAAAAAAGAGAGAGAGAGAAAGAAAGGGAGAGAGATTGTATTTACCAAAAGGAGCTTCTTGAGTGTACACTTCAAGAAGATAGAAAAGTTATCTTATAGAAAAATTAGGGAATCAAAATTAAAGATAAAGAACCTGTAGACACAGGAGACTGTAGGGGTGGA